CAATCCCCTTCTGGTACCACTATGAGAGGGTTCGGGTCGATCCGTCGAAAATTCAACGTTGAAATTCGTATATCGTCGAATTGGCTGTCCCGTCGAATCCGTCTGATTGTCGGAATTCAATTCGTTGAACTGCCCAATCGTCGACATGGAAAAGTATTTTACAGATGCGAAGAATCGTGTAAACGATCTTTCCATGCGCGTTGGGGTAAACGTTCCGCGGAGAAATATGTCGGGACCTGGAAGGCTGGAATATCGTTGTGCCATGGGATTGACCTTGGAGGGTTCACCCCTCGTGTCATCTCCTAATCGGGCCAAGGTCAACCCCTTAAATAAGCCGTTGTTCCTCCGTTAGGGATCGTGGACGCTGAAGCTTCAGAGCCGTCTTTCTCGAGCCACGGATTAGGGGTGTCTTCTTCCCCTTCCTTTTGAAGTCACGCAATCACACGTTGAAGATGGAATTCATGCTGAATATTATTAGAATATGATGCACAACATTATACAGATGGCAGACGGCCTCAGGCAGGCCTCGATTCCAGTCCACTCCCACCCACTCAAGAAGATGAGAAAGGTCAGATCAGAACGGCGTTTGAACGGATAGCAGGGAAATAAAATAAATGAAATGAAAATAAATGAAAGAATGGCAAACCTTAGCTACGTATGCTGGTGTGGGTTCCTCTTCCTCTTATCCAGCGGCGGATCTAGAAAGTTCTTAAGGGCAGATGTTCCAAGATAGGATCAAATATCGAACAAAACATTAAAAAATGAATTAAACACTTTTCCTATTTCCATCAGTGACAAACTGAAAGGAGTCTTGATGGGTGATGGAAGACGAGGGATACAACTTTCGTTCCTTTCCGAAAGAAAGGCCTCAGGGACTCATCCCATTCAATGTCAGGGCAAGCCATCTGGCAGCTAATCGAATAAGTAAGGTCCACACAAACAAAAGTGAGATGGCGCTTAAAAATCGTGATTACAGATCTCTACCCTGTGATACTACTGAAGTGATTTACCAGCATACATTACTTGATCAAGGAAACGCCTCCAAATTCCTCGACGCATTTGACGAAAGAGGTCTTCTCATCTTGAGGATCAGAATTTTTGAGCCATAAGATATCGAATGCGATCTCCCACTTACGGAACATCCTTGTATTTCAGCCTAATAATCGAGAAGCACTCCGGCTCCCTGGGGATTTTCGAGTGATCACAGTCGAGGGGGGCAGAGAGCCAGCGGAAGAAAGGATTCCCTTTCTTCTCACCACAATATCTGCCATTCCCATAATGACGTATGAGAAAATGGCATGTCCATCCGATAATTAATCAATGTAGCCGTGTGAACGTCGTAGATGACTAGGGCATATTGAGCTAATGGAAAGCATACGAATAGCCAAAGTAGCGTTCAAGAGGAAAACGAAGGAAACGCTGGAGACATGGAGTGTCGGGTCATGCCGCGAGAACGAAAATATGAGACATGCAGCAGAAGTATGGGGGAAAGAACCGAGAATTTCAAAGGTCACTGAACTGAGGCGCGATCTACGATTGGTGCGAGCCAACCCGGGGAAACGAAGATGAAGAAAGGAATGCCAGGCTGAAATCTGCACGGCTCATCATTCGATTACGGGCAATCCCGATGATGATCCCTCTATGCGAATGAGATTATGAGCATAGCCAAATACCAGCGTCAGCCTAGAGAAGACGAGGATTCGTATCTTAAGCCTAGGAAAATGTGTCAGTGCACACAGAGTATCGAAGTTTTCAAGATTATGTCGCAGCTGAAAAAAATGGCTAAGTTTTTGTAGCGGGATCCATTAGAAACAGAACGGTAGTTACAGGGTTAAAATTTGAGGGTGTTTATACGAAGAAGACTTCTCGCTGTGATCTCTGTTGCGTCGTGAAAACAAAATAAAAAATGAACTGTACCCGTTTTATGACGTGCCCTCGTACGAATGAAGAATGCTATAATTGCGCTTCATTGCTCAGGTAAGAGACCTGCCCCTCATTTCATGTAGTTCCTTTTTGTTTTCTCATCAAACCCCTCTATACTTAGGACCAGATCCAGTCTTAGTCATGTGCCACATGTGCTCCAGCACAGGGCGGAAATTCACTAGGGGCACCAAAACGTGCCAGAATTGATGATGCAATAGTGAATGCCACCCTCAGTTTTACTTCAGAGAGTAGAAATGCCTTCTGCTTCGGCGTCTTTTTGGATGCAAGGGATTGACCCTTCTCCCTTCAGAGTAGGGGAAAGGGGGGGGGGGGGGGGGGGGGGGGGGGGGGTCGACCCAATCATCATCAAGGTCAACCCGCCCGACTTGCCGGGCTATATCGCAGTAGAAACTTCGGAATAACGGCCAGAAAAATGTATGACCTTTATTCACACATGATGGAGTCTCAACCGTCTCTTTGCACAGGGCGTTGAAGCAGCTAGGGCCGGCCTGCTTATGACAATCCAGCAGTCGCATAGAATCATGAATCATGCACGAATCCGGAAAAAGCTCCACCGATTGACACCGACACGGCGATGAACTGAAGGCCAAATAACCCTGTCAGCAAGCCCCACATCAACCCCTCTATTTCCCCATTCAATTACCTGGTCTGTGATTCGTCGAGCGCGTCCATTCGTCACTGATGTCTGCTTCAGAAGTACCGGTTTTCCGGTCTCTTTCACTCGGTTTCGACGCTTTCCTTCCCCCGTGCACGAGCTCTACCGTGTTATTTGTGTATACGCTACTTGTAAAATGCACAATGGAAGAATTCCCTCGTTGTGATGTTCCAGTGGCAATCTCGAAAGCGCTCCTCAAGTGCGAGCGTGTTGGATTGAGTGAAAAACACAATCTCATTTGCTTTTAGCTGCGGCCATTTTTGAAATGGCGTAAATGTGTGAACTATCACTTTAGTAGATAAAACAGTTGTGCCATTAATAGATAATTATTGATCTATTACTTTTCTATGGGTGCTTGCCCAAGTGGTTCTGACTAACACGACTTTTCACCAGCTCAGTTATCATCACACTAAACCGGAGTGACACCGAATTTCAGCCATTTGGAACTCAATTCACCTGTCAATTTATCAATCATTGCCTGTCATCTCCATCCAAGCAAGTATCGAAAAAGTGGGAACAACAAAGGGGGAAAGAATGACAATGGCGAATATGGAACTTATTGGAAGGTGTTCGAAAACCTCGACTCTTAAAACGCGGTTTGGTTAATTTCTTTGAATTCCTGAATGATGGCTCCGAGAAGTCGACCTTTCGCCACTGGGGGAGGGGAAGGGCCATATTACGACGATGGGGAATGACCTGCACCAAAAAAAAATAAATAAAATAAAGGCTGCCAACCCTTCGGAACGGCATAGGACCAGACTGGCGCATTTCATCTTCTTTTGATCTGTCAGCTTTTCTTCGGGACAGGAGTACGCGGTCGCAGGATGTTTCTGCTGACAGACTGACCCAAACAGAGTTAGATCCCTGTATTTACCGGAACGGTGACAAATATACCGATTGCGTGACTTTGAAATGAACAGGAGAATAAATATAAATGAGAACGCACGTAAAAAGACACAGAAATACAACCATTAAGGAAAGTAAATTGAAGTTCTGCCTTCTAAAAGTGTGCGTGTGCCGAGTTTCATGTATGATACGAAATCTTGTTACTTTCGTAACACTGTTACTATCTTGTTACTTCGTAACGATGTGCAAACGTCATGACCGAAATGCAGACAACGCCTTTATTCTATTGCTCGTGGGCAACACAGTGTAGGGACTTTTACCATCACACAATGATTATTTGGGTGCAACGTGCGATCGAGGGAGCGTTTCATTACTGCATCAGCTAAATGTGGGCCCATTTGGCGTCGCACTTCCAATGCTCGAACGCTTTTCCCACAATAACTTCATGCTTTTCAGTCCATATGTTTATAATCGAAACCAGAATTTAAGGAACAGTAATTTTTTTCCCATCAGAATTTTCCATCTCTCGTTTGTGCCTTGTCGTTTGAAAATGTCAACTCACCTAGCTGGATTTGGAACCGGATTTCCTGGATTTCGTAAATTTGTGCTTGCCAATTTTCCATTAAGGAAGGGGTGTAAAAACTTCCCTGACTGGTGCCCAGTGTCGATGTTAAGGACGTGATTTGGCAGGAAGTGGAATCGGATTTGCCCCGGTTAATCAGTGTGACCTGAGAGCCCACTAGTGCTGTGCAGAATTTTCTTTTATAATTATTGATTCCAGTTTACCCGCGGCTGTTTTGGAATCCTTCATCATCCTTGTGGTACTCCAGATGACTCCAAATCCCGCAAAAAAGTCCCCTACGTCAAATACCCTGACATCTGCCGCTCTTCTTGAAATACGAGGAATTCAGGCGCACGTACGATGTGTCACATCGTGTGCGTCCAAATCACGTCCATGAAGCGGCATGGGACTGCAGGATCTGGTAAGGGACCTATGCTGCTGGGGGGGATTGACAATGGGACTTGGATCCACTTCCTTGATTTCTGCCGACAGTAATGGAACGCTCCTCAGGTGACGAGATTAATAACAGAGACTATAGAATTTCGGCATTGTCATCGCATGCCTTCGTGAGTCGTAAATAGAGACACCAGGTGCTAACATGTCTTCTAGCACTATCACTTTCGAAACACGTAATACAGAATATCATAAGCGACAGAATATATGAAGAAAAAAGAGCGACTTAATCAAGCTCAATAAGAGGACAGAGCAACTTTGAAGCCAAAATGAAGACCAGACAAGAACTGATTGTAATACTGCGACATAAAAGCAATTACTTGTCTCGAAACGCAAACTCTGCAGGGCGTTTCATTGGAGATTTTAGGCTACCGGTTGGGTATCATCAATACAAAAGCAAATCAGGTCACAAAAAGGCAGATATTTGGATTCAAGATCGTTAGAGGCAGAGTTTCATCAAAGAGTATTAGTAAATACGAAAGAAAAGAGACGGTTGAGACTCCATCATGTGTGAATAAAGGTCATACATTTTTCTGGCCGTTATTCCGAAGTTTCTACTGCGATATAGCCCGGCAAGTCGGGCGGGTTGACCTTGATGATGATTGGGTCGACCTTTGCGGGTATCTGGGTTGCCCCGATTTCTTCTTCCATTTCGTTTGTCCGATTCTCTCTCTGCGAGTCGGTCTCGGCCTGATGGAGAGACAATCATCAATTTCAACAGGAATACCAAGCCACAAAATTCCAGCGCTTGGAAAACATCACGCCGCGAATTGATTGCAAGCTTCCACCCTGCACCTCTCGGCGGGTATGAGGAATATATTTTACAAACATGCCAGCAGGTGTTATTCTTGGGAAAACAATTTTTTTTGTCAGCGACACGTGTATAGGACTGGAATACGAATGGGAAAAAAAAATTTTAGAACAAAATTCAGAATAAATTGAAGTGAAAGAGAGAGACGACATGCTTGGTGGAAAGTATACTTAACTGGACCAACAGTTAAACGAAATATGAACAAAATGTTTGAGTTAGTGGATCAATATAACATCGGACAAAAAGTCCTGAATCTCATTTTCAATGAATTCATGGCATCTTATCACTTTAAAACATGAATGTACAAGTGACGGAATCCCAAGAGATCTATTTTTGCGTGGTGTATTTCATTTCAGGTTTCTGAGCAAAGATTTCAGTTTCGATAAGATTCATGTCAGTGTCAGTGTTGTGGAAAGGGAAGGATTAGGAAGCTTGATTTCCTACTTTCATCTCTTCGGGGAAATAAATGGTTCTCTTTTTTTTTTGCGGCCGTCGAACAGCCCATAAAAAAAGGCGTTTCCAAGACCCCTAAAGGATCTGTGCAGATGAAAGTAAACATCGTGATGCTCTGTTGCAACGATAAATGAGATATGACGAGAACTATGCTAATTCGAAGCTACAAAGAACAAAATGTTTGAGTTAGTGGATCAATATAACATCGGACAAAAAGTCCTGAATCTCATTTTCAATGAATTCATGGCATCTTATCACTTTAATACATGAATGTACAAGTGACGGAATCCCAAGAGATCTATTTTTGCGTGGTGTATTTCATTTCAGGTTTCTGAGCAAAGATTTCAGTCTTGTGTTTTCATGGTGATTCCTAGGAAAGGAAAGGTTCTGTAAGGAAAATAAATTTCAGTTTCAATGAAATGCAAGTTTGCTCATATTTGTATTTGGTTCTGAGATCAATGAGATTCCAAATATATGGAAACTAAAATAGATGTATTGTAATTTCTCGATTACAGTGACCCAAACAAGTAGTGCAATGCTTTAAGCTTTGGGACGCTTTCAGCTTTGACATCGCCTAGAGGAAAACAGTCAGAACAATTCTTGCGTCATTTGATAGCCGCGGCCTTAAGCTATGCAGAGATGGTAGTCTCAGGTTGCTAGCTCTTCACAATAGGAAAATACTCACTTTCAAAGTTGCCCCAGGTTTTTTTGTTCGTGCACTCACTAGCAAAAAGGACTTCATTCAATATTTAGAGTCGTCTCCCTCGGCTTTCAACATTGTAGTTACTCTTTTAGGCATGCTTTGGATCAGATCAGCACAAACTTCCTTAGGAATCTTGGCCCATTCTGCTTCTACTAGATGCATGAGCACGTGGATACTTTTGAGGGTAAATTTCGTAAGATACAAGCTGTCGTTTCATGTGTACCCAGACGTGTTCGACTGGGCTAAGGTCAGGAGACTGCGCAGGCCAGTCCAGTGCCTCCACCCGGTTGCCTTCGGCCCACTTGGAGAGCCTTGCGAGGAGTGTGCTTGGGGTCATTGTCTTGCTGGAAGATGAAGCCATTCCATCTCATCTCGCAGTAATCGACTGTAGCGAACTCCCGATCGTCCAGGACACTGGTGCTCAGTTCGGCGTCTGTGCATCCATCGATGCGACGAAACCAGCCGACATCTTGGACCGTCATGCAGCTCCAAATTATCTGGTTTCCACCGCCGAACTTCCTTGTACTTTCAAAATGCTGATGTTAAAATGCTCGTACCAGGCACTTTCCGCGTCCAAACGCGCCCCAAACGACTGATCAGAGAAATTCGCGCGGAACCAATCGAGCAGTCCAATGCTGGTACCAGCGAGCAAACCTCATGCGCTGCTTAAAATGTTCGGGCTCATCATGAACGCAGCATGTTGAGACGGTACAGACGCAAGAATTATTTTGAATTTTTTTTTTTCCTCGAGGCGATGTCAAGGCTGAATGCGACCCAAAACTCAACATATCGCACCACTTGTTAGGGTCACTGTAACTCATTTTAAATCTTTACCCATAAAACTTGCAATCAATCATCTCAGACTCGTATTGATTCCAAAAATGGTTGGACTGGAAACAGGCCAATATTTTGGCATTAATTGCGGAAAATCTGCAATATATGGCGCTGTTCTTCCTCAAGCAGTGAAAATTGGGATGGACCAGAAAGAGAAAGCAAACCTTTCCTTTAATCTCTTGCTGTTTCTTCACTTGCAACCCCTGGGGTACATCGTTGATAAAAAACGACAGGATCCACGTCACCACGAGCACAAAATGCTGCAATGCAAAATACAAAAGCTCAATTATGTCGATTAGGTGGATGCAAGAATTCTAAGAACGCATTCAGTGTTTGCAAAATTCAATATTGCAATTCGCCCAGCATACAAAATTGATCAAACGTGTATCAGCTCTAAAATATCACATTCTAGCCTATAATTCGTTCCCATGCGTATCATGTATTGGTACGATCAAATGGATTGAAAATGGATTGCAGTCACCAAAATTTCTGAATCTTCCTGACCTCTTTTTTTATATTTTTATTTATATATATTTTTTATTATTACAATAACATGACCAACGATGTTCAGCTATTGTTCAGCGTAGACAGGGTTGAAACCTCCCTGAGGAACGATTTCATGAATATTATTTGGGAGAGGACTAGGAATTTTCAGAGGGTGGTGGGTTTATCTTGTGCAGGCTGGTCAGCAGCCAAGGCATCAGCACCTGGTGCAATGAGGATGTGCGAAAAGAGCAATATTGCCTGCGTTGCAATGGAACAATTTTTCTGCAGCTATTCGCAATTATTAGAATATATGAGTTGACAGATGCAGCCATAGGTGGATAGTGCGCAAAGACGTCAGGGGGCTAAAAAGGGGCATCGCTTATTATAGGATTTCCCGGTACATTTTCTCAGCCAGTAGTGCAGATATATTTTTTTTATATCAGGAACGCTTCCCCCCCCCCCCCCCAATCTGCTAGAATTCGGAATGGAGTTTTTATTTTTATTTTATATATACTTTTTTTTTTTACAGAAAGTGCCAAAATTCTCTACGCTCGATAATTGCATTTCCATGGGGTACAGCATCGATATAACATGTGAGTCCATCAGCTCGTGGGAGAAGACATAATCAACGATTCCATGAAATCATGTCATTTGATGAACAAGGCAGGCAGACCTCGAAGATGACAACAAAGGCGAGACGAGCGGCGATCATGTGCCAGAACACCTCGGTGACACCAAAAGAATTGTGCGGCCCATTCTGGTTGGAGGATGCGCGGGGTGCACGGTATCCCGGGAAGCGACACGTCTCTGGCATCGTCCCATTTATATACTCATCGGACAGGAAGTCCTTGTTGAAGTCCGAGGTGTTGAATACTGAAACGAGAGTAAACATTTTGTTGCCGTCCTCATTTGACTTGGACTACTCGTCGAGAAGCGATTGCGATCACCTGCGAGAGAAGCGTTGATGTAACCGCGTAAGTTCAAGTCCGAGGTATACCAAATCCGATATGCAAGACGGGGAATGATGTCCGTTGTGAAAGCGATCACGAATGCCTGGGAAGACAGAATGCTGGGATCATGATCGCAATGATCGTGAATAATCAGGGTCGCGACGGCTTCATGTAGCATCAAATTTGAACATTGCATAGTACCAATTTTTCGTTGCATCATTGGAAAAAGAATTTGTCGGATTCTCAGAAATATCAAAAATATGCATGTCAACTGGTTTTTGCTGCCTGAACGATAGCTTTTATCATTATGATCTGAAGGACTATTACTTGGATTTTTTAAAAAAATGCGAATGATTAATTCGTTGATGAATAAACAAGTGAATAACTATGACTAGCTAGATTGAAAATATTTACTTATAACTGAAAAATTTGCAGTGTTGGCAAAGGGTTGATGTTGACATTAAGTCCTTTGTAAAGCACTTGACTTTCGCAAGGGAACCATGAGCTGATTGTAATTACATTACCATATTCATTAGATGCTCCCTCGTAGGATACATTATGTCAATCTTTGGATTGAACTGCAGAAAGGTGTTTTCAGGTGAGACAGCAATTTCTAGAGGAACCACGTCTGGACTTATGTAGTTCGCAGATATCCATCATGTTTCCTTGTGCGGAATTGGTCGAATTGGAAATTTTACAAAGAGAGCAGCTATTGGGGATTCATTGGACGTGGTATAAACGAGATTCAGGAGGTATTTCTTGTCTTTTTTATACTTTTCCTGCATCTCAGAATTCTCGTACTTAAAAAAAAAAGACCTGACCGACGCTCAGAGGCATGTTTACATGAGAGTATTGGGTGCCCAAGAGGTACAAAAAAGAGAACAGGAATACGAAATGCATGAGCTGGTTGTACTCCACCCACTGGGCTTTGAAAAACGCTTCGTGAATCGAACCAACGGATAAAAATGGTTCTATTGGCTAAAAAAAATTATATTTCGCTACAGACAAAAGCAGTAGAATGTGTTGCACTCCCGAAAAAGAAAATGAAAATTTCGCTGTTTTACATGCACTTTCCTTATTATGATTCTTATTTCTCTCGTCTATTTACCCGTTTCACGAGTGTGCATATTTAAGACAGGCATTCAAAAGTATTTTTCCATTTCTGCCTCTTGACCTAGCCCGACATGCTTACCGATTTGCAGATTTAATAGCCATCATGAGCGCAAATAATCATTTTGAGCAAGAGCCAGCGATACCATTCCGTCAGCACAACTAATTTTGAATATCAGCAATAGAAGGTGACACGCAAGGGCAACGTTGAACGGCATGGTTCCAGTGGAAGAAAGGAGAAAAGACTGTCAGCATCGTTCGCAGGCTTCAAGCAGTGAGCGCGAAGGCTGCACCGTCAAAACAGACTATGCACGATTGGATGCTTTCTTTCAAAGGTGGTCGTCGAACGACTAAAGATGCGTCACGATCTGGTAGACCAAGCACTTCCACTACAGAAGAAAACATTGCAGCTGTTGAACGATCGGTCATGAACAACAGACGAATCACGAACCAGGAGCTTGTTCTCGCAGTTGGAATCTCAGCTGGTTCCATTAATGCAATTCTGCATGATGATCTGCAGCTGGGAAAGGTTTGTGCACGTTGGGTGCCACAGCTGTCCACAAGAATCGAAGGCTCAACGGGTCCAGTCGAGAGCTGAACTGCTCTGCCTCCGCAACAGTAATTCAGATGCTTTCTTCAGAAGCCCTGTTACCGGCGATGAAACGTGATTCCACTTCAAAGAACCGGAAACGAAACAATAATCCAAGCAGTGGAAGCATGTTGACAGTCCTCCTCCCGAAAAGGCGAAAACATCGTCATCAGCGAGCAAGCGAATGGCGACAGTCTTCTGAGACACAGAGGGCGTTCTTCTTCTTTGAGACTTCTGAAGGGGGCAAATGTGAATATTACACGAGCATCTTGCTGAAGCTTGAAGGTGCCATCAGGTCAAAACGCAGAGGGAAATTTGAGTGCACGTGTTCTGCTGCAGCATGACGATGCGAAACTGCATACCAACCGGCAAGCATTGAATGTCATAGCCGATCTGGATGATCCAGAACCCTCTGTACTCACAAGATCTGGCACCAAGCGATTACTAGTTCTTCGGTGCCATGAAGAAGCCCCTCTGAGGACAAAATGCTCTCAAACTTGCAGGCATTCGACTCGGCGGTGCAGCAGTGGGTCCGGTCCCCCCGCCAAAAAAACATGGTTCAAAGAGGTACTAAGCAAACTTCTAGAACGTTGGCGCAAATGTGTGTCAATTAGTGGTGTCTTTTTTTTTTTTTAGGTACAGTAACCCCTGTTTGACTGTGAATGCCGTATGTCGCTGTTATTGAAAAGTCCAAACCCTTTTAGAAGCTCCCTCGTAGTTCCAGAAAATCTTCCATCACGAAAAGTTGAAGACATTTGCGAGAAAAAGCAAATCTTTTTTTCTTAAGCACATTCTCACATGCTGCTGAGGAAGACTCTGCCAATAATTGCTGAATATGAAGGTTCTCCCCCTTATACGCACTGCATAATTCTTCATAAATACAAGAGCAGAAAAGTAGAGAGGAAGGATGTAGACTCACATTACAAACAATGGCGATGTTGGTGACGGTGCTCAGGATGTCGGACCAAGCGCCGATGTCCTGTGCCCGCTTCGGTATGACGCGCCTCTTCGAGCACAGGAATTTCTTTGCCTCCATTCTGAGTTTTATGATGTTGGTGGGCAGGGTGACAAGCGGGGCCAGTGGGAATGCCGCCACGAAAAGAGTCACGAGCCCGAATTGGATCGCTGCGATGTCCCACCAGATATATGATGGCATGATGCCGCACGGGGTCAGGAGTCAAGAATTTTGTGCACCTACCTTTTTCAAGGTATTCGTCATGAAGTACCATTTCTTCGGAGACAGGAGACAGGGCATTGTTTTCTTCCAAACTAGAGATACTTTGATGACATTTTCGATTCACCAACATTTTCCACCATCTCTGCAGTTTCCTTAGAAACACCAGAAGGAGAGATTACATTTCCCCCAAAATGCTTCGGCCAACTGAATTGCTAACACTTCCTCTCTTTACACTTCTCCATTACATGAATTAAGAAGGGTTTATCTTCGATATCATCTAATCAATAGGTGCCAAAGCGCCTATTACCTTTCTCCAACCCCTTCCCGTAGCAAAATTCAACCTCCTCGTATTCCTCTTTGAGAGCATCAACAGGAACGAAATTTGAAAATTTTCTTCTTCCCTCAACACAGAATCGCTCCCGCAAATTTGAAGCCCCATTTCCCCGGGATTGTAGAGAACACAGCGTGCACCATGGATTTGATGCTTCCTGGAGGCATTCTCTCCTCAGACCTAATCGAGACCGTTGGAGGAACTCCAGATATGCTTCATGCTACACTTCCTCTCAGAATTGGCTCGTGAAATAGGCCTGCAATCGGCCTAACGTTGCACGTCCTCGACAAGATGTCTCCAAGATGGATTGGGCCCTTATAGGCCTAGTTGGCCACGTAAGTGGGAAATTGAGTTTCTTTTTAGCGGAAAACGGTGCATTAATTGATTTTCAAAATACCATACTTCGTCACTGAAGACCGGGTAGGCCTAGGCCTTGGCATGCTAGGTTTTCGTGGAGAGCGTCAAAACTCCGTAGTGTGACGTCAGGAATTGGAAATCTATGCGTTTATTGGTCGACTTGACACCATGAACGATGGCGGCTGACCCTTCTAATCGGCATGCTGCTGCCTGGCGTTCTCCATTGGCCTGTTCAGTCTAGGTATATTTACAGTGTTTTTCACTTGAGTTAGACATGTTTTCACTTGACTTCGACAACGGTGCATGGCGAGGGTGATATAGCGGATCGACGCAGAAACGAGTTCCATTCTTAAGTGCAGATGTCGTGATGACATTGGCGACAACGATGATGATTAATTTCCTGCTGAAGAGAGGAAAATAAATATGAACCTTCCCAAATACACAATATATTGAAATGCTAATTTAATGTCGTGAAAAACTAGGCTTTCGTGTCACCCATTACTGTTTTCCTTAATATTTCAATAAAACAGGTGAAGATTTGGGCATCGTTCCTGGGTTCTGAAGTATCCTTCCCCACGCCGAACTCAAGTAGGCCTATCTAACGTGGATCTGGGATTGTCCATCGAAGTCCGATCCAGTGTTTCTACATCGTTGAACCGATGGGAAATTGAAAACTTAGAGCCTTTTTATTTAAATAAACTGCAAGGAAGGTCTCCCGTTGGCAACATGGCTATGCATGCGGTTCATCGTATCCAGTACATAGTTTGATGCATAT